TGGATACCCAAGCTGGGGTCTAGCGGGGAGCTGGCAGCCAAAGGGCTGGGGCAGAGGACAGATCAGGGTCCACCTCCCTGTTAGGGAGGGCGCCAAGATGGAGCGGCGGGAGGAGCAGCCGGGGGCTGCAGGGGCTGGAGCCGCCCCAGCCGTGGACTTCACAGTGGAGAACGTGGAGAAGGTATGGGGGCGCTGGGGTGGGCGCTCCGTTAATGGAGCAGAAGTTCTGGGGCTCCATGCTGCTGCCAGAGCTCAGGCCTGGGCCGGTGCCTGCTGGTTTGGTGCCCCCGGAGCACCTGGCATTTGCTCATCTCTGGCCAGCAAGCAGGACAGCAGTGTGGCAATGGCCTCATGGGCTATTTTTGGCTTTTCTTAGACACATGGTCCTCTGTGGACAGACACAGGCAAGTTGGGATGTTGCCTTCGGGATGCTGAGGGCTCTGACTTCCCGCCAGACTGGCCGTGGTCCAGCTGCCAGCTCCGTGGGGGCATGAGCAGTGCAGTAGGAAGCCGGGGAGATCTGCAGCTCAACCCTGGAAGCCAGACTGTTGCTGTGACTATCTGGGATCTGACTTTGTTGAGCCAAGAGATCCCCCGGATGACTGGGGTGAAGTTTTCAGGTTTTTGTTTGTTTTTTGAGAGGGGCCCTTCCTTTACTGCAGAGATTCCAGGCCTGGACAGGCAGCGGAGGGGCTGGCCCCTTTGGTTTCGTGCAGTGTCAAGGGGCCTGGCCCTGCCGGGATTCCTGCTGACCTGCCTGCTCACTTAGCTCGCCCAGGCCGCCCCTGTGCCCAGGTGTTCCTTTCTGAACTGCTTCTCTGGTTCTCTTCTGAGTTCAGATCTGAGCAGCTCAGCATGCAAGCAGGCAAGGCCCCTGGGGAGAGTGGGGAGTTGGGCTACCTTGCTGGAAAGCACAGGGATGGTGGTAAATGTTCACTCGTTATTCTGGAACCCTGTTGGCCATTCCAGGTGGTGAGGGGGCAAACAAGGGGCAGTGGCTATAGCTGGCTTATGGGGTTCACCTGCTGGAATGGAGCCTGCTGGGTGGTCAAGCTCCTGGCTTCTCTCTCACTCCTCGGACACGGTGCTGTCCACTGTGCTTTGTGCTGCCAGGAGGATAAGCCACTGTTTTCTTACTTGCACAGAGTCTCCCTGGAATTGGGGCCCTGGGGCTTCTGCTAGCTCAGAGCTGGGCACCAGGCATTTGCCAGACCAGCCCCTGCCAGAACTCCTCCCCCTCAGGACATCTTATTGGACCTTCCCGTGTGCTCCCCAGGGGTGTTCTCACCCTCCCCCTCCTGCTGGGTCCCTGCCTGAGGGCTGCCAGGCCAAAGTCTTAGTCCTCCTCAGATTTCACCCTGGTCCTCCTGCAAGCATCTGGAATGACCTAGTGATGTCTTGGGAGTGGGGGTGAGGGGTGAGGGAGGGTGAATGGAGCTGTGCAATTTGAGGGAGCAGCTGTGTCTGGAAGGGTCAGGGCCCCTCAGGCTGTTTGGTGTTCTTTTCAGGCTTGGCTTCATCCCACTGGAACCATTCCTCTTCCTTTGGGCCTTGCCCTCAGGGGACTACACTGGGGAGGCCATTATGAGTTGTTCCAAAGTGGAGAGGTAGAGCAGGGCCAAGGTTGAGGTGCCTAAGATACCAGCAGGACTTCAGGCCTGGGAAATACTGCAGAGGCTTCCTGCCCAGCTGGGTGGTGGTTGCAGGGTGAGGGAGGGTGTCTTGCAGGACCTAGTTGCTGTGGGCTATGGGCTCCCAGCAGGATTCAGAGCGGCCGGCCTGTGCTCAGTCTTCCGCTGTCTTGCAGGCTCTGCATCAGCTCTACTATGATCCCAACATCGAGAACAAGAACCTGGCCCAGAAGTGGCTGATGCAGGCCCAGGTCTCCCCACAGGCCTGGCACTTCAGCTGGCAGTTACTGCAGCCCGACAAGGTGCCTGAGATCCAGTACTTTGGGGCCAGTGCCCTGCACATCAAGATCTCTCGCTACTGGAGCGACATCCCCACTGACCAGTACGAAAGCCTCAAGGCCCAGCTCTTCACCCAGATCACCCGCTTTGCCAGTGGCTCCAAGATCGTGCTGACTCGGCTGTGCGTGGCGCTGGCCTCGCTGGCCCTCAGTATGATGCCTGATGCGTGGCCGTGTGCTGTGGCAGATATGGTACGGCTCTTTCAGGCCGAGGACTCACCAGTGGATGGCCAGGGCCGCTGCCTGGCCCTGCTGGAGCTGCTGACGGTGCTACCCGAGGAGTTCCAGACCAGCCGCCTGCCCCAGTACCGCAAAGGCCTGGTGCGGGCCAGCCTGGCTGTGGAGTGTGGGGCTGTCTTCCCGTTGCTGCAGCAGCTACTGCAGCAGCCCAGCTCGCCCAGCTGCGTGCGTCAGAAGGTGCTCAAGTGTTTCTCCAGTTGGGTGCAGCTGGAGGTGCCGCTGCAGGACTGCGAGGCTCTCATCCAGGCCGCCTTCGCTGCCCTGCAGGACTCTGAGCTCTTCGACAGCAGCGTGGAGGCCATCGTCAACGCCATCTCACAGCCTGATGCCCAGAGGTGAGCTGGTCCCCACGTGCCCAGAGGCCCAGCCCTGCTTGGCCGGCCAGCCACACCTCCATCTGTGCAGTAGGGATGAGTCGAGTGCATACTGCATGTCAGGTTCTCTGTTGGAGATGCAGCAAGGCACCAAGCAAGGTGTGGTCCCTGTACTTGGGGTTCAGAGAGCACGGCCAACCTTGAGCCACCAGCTCAGTGAATTATTCAGTTAATGGTGTTTTAGAGCTTCTTGTTCTCGGCAGCAGTCACCCAGTCCTGGCTGTTCTACCTCTGACATATTGTGAATCTCTTCCATTTCCACTGCTACCACCCTAGTCCAAGCTGTCGTCCTCCCCCTCCCGATGCCTGCCGCGCTCTCCCCAGCCTCCTGCCTTCCACTCCTGGGCCCTTGCTCGTCCCAGGAGCTGGGGTGATCTTTCACAAATGAAGACTGGTCCTGTCTTTTTTGATCAGAACTCTTGGGTGGCTTCTTGTTACTTTTTGGATAAAGTTCAGAATCCTTAATGTGACTTGGAAAGGTCCTGCCAGCCTCATCTTGCTCCACTCTCCTTGCTGTCGACACTCCTATGAGGTCTTTTGGTTCCGTGAATGTGCTGTGCTCCCTCCAGCCTCTGAACCATCCCAGGGACTTGACATGTTCCCCTGCCTCAACCCAAATTTGACTTCTATAGGGACGTCCTTTTTTAAAGATTGATTTATTATTTTTATTGGAAAGGCAGATAAACGGAGAGCAGGAGAGACAGAAAGGAAGATGTTCCATCCGTTGATTCACTCTCCATGTGGCCGCAGTGGCTAGAGCTGAGCTGATCCAAAGCCAGGAGCACAGAGCTTCCTCCGGGTATCCCACGTGGGTGCAGGATCCCAAGGCTTTGGGCCGTCCTTGACTGCTTTCCCAGGCCACAGGCAGGGAGCTAGATGGGAAGCAGGGCTGCCAGGATTAGAACCAGTGCCCATATGGGATCCCAGTGCATTCAAGACAAGGACCTTAGCCACCAGGCTACTGCACCAGGCTCCTCAGAGGTTTTTAAGACTAGGTTTGGTCCTGTCCATTATCTCAGAGCTCCCAGTATTTTTCCTTACCCCATAATTGATTTCATTATAAATTAATTTTTGCCTTGTGAGCCTCTCGACACTGTGAAGACAGGGATTCTATCATTTTATTGTGTCACATTGTGCCTTGCATACAGTAGGGTTTAGTTCTTTTTTTTTAATGGATGAAAAGTGGAAGGTACCCGAAGATGGGGTATGAGGGAGGAGGGGGAATATTCCAGGCTCTGGGAACCACAGCAAGATGCCAAGACCTGTGGTAGGCAGACCATGGGGCATTGGAGGTCCTCTAAGAAGGTGAGTGTAGGACAGTGTATTTGGCAAACATTAGGCGAGCATCTGTTGTGTCAAGTCGGGAGCCGAGGCATCAGGAGCGCAGAGAGGAACGCTTTAACCTGGGCATGTCGGGCATGTCGGGGGCTCCTCAGCCTGTGGAATCCTCTGATTGGGAAAGCAAGGGGCTCTAAGTGCCCAGACGGAGCACGTAACCCAGCCTGAGCGTTGCAAAAGGCTTCTCAGCAGAAGTGACAGCCTAGCTGTGTTTGGAAGGCTATGTTGAGAGTTAGCCAGGTGGGAATGATAAACAGTCTAAACAGAGAGCGCCCAGTGGGTCTGATGGTTTGTAAATCACTGGGGGTGGTCGGGCTGCAGGGTGGAAGGGCCCAAGTTGTAGGAGTTCCAGGCCCGAGGCAGACCAAGCTTGAGATTTTGATCTTCATCCCTAGGGTGATATAAAGATTGTAAAGTATCTTAAGCAGAGAAAATGACCTGCTGAGATTTTTTTTCTTTTTTTGGAAATATGAATTGAACTGGAAAGGGTGAGACTAGGGACCTGACACTGACATTTTAGAAGTTAGGGTGTTGGGGAGCCTTTGGCAGAGCTGGAGGCAAAAATCATGGAGATCCCCCAAAGGAGTAGTTCCTGAACAGCCCCGCACGTGTCACATGTGGGAAACTGAAGGCCGTGTGCGACTGTTGAGCGGGCAGTGGGCTTGGTTGATGTATGGCTAAAGTTGAAAAAGAATTGATTTCCCTGTACGTGTACATACCCACACACAAATATGCATGTGTAATACAGACACAGAGATAATGCGCATAGCTACTGGCTTTTAAAACTTCAAGTAAAAACATGGAGGAGATTAGTTTTAACATTAATAATATTTTGGCAAAAGAATTAAGGAAGGGAATGAGAAGGGCTTAGCCTGGCCCCTGTCCACTTCATGTGCAGTAGTTGCTGGTATTCGGTATTGTGACTTTTGGCATGAAGTATTCCTACGCCCTGGCTTCCTGGATTTTCTGGCTTAAGGTGGAGGCCAAGTCCCAGGTCTAGCCCTCTCCTGACAGCCTGAAACTCAAGTCCTGGGTGGGCTCAGACTTGTGGTGGCAAAGGGGAACCCATAGGGACAAGCCCCTGAGTGATGCAGTGTGTCCTTGGATACACCCAGGTTTACCTGCCCAGCCAGTCTCAGGGGCCAGGTAATTGATGCTCCTTTTCCTCTGAACGAATGAGCGAGCAGGGAGCTAGGAGGGAACCCACAGCCTCCTAGGCGCCCATTGGCTGCAGCCCTCTGGTTGCTTAGCAACTCTCCCCATTTTCTCAGCTCTGTTCCCCGAGCTCTAATTGCAGGTCTGGACTAAGCTTCAGTGTGAGCGGCAGCCAAGGAGTCCCAGCAGCCCTGCTGCTGCAGCTGACCAACTACAGCCAGGCTTCTCGAACTCAGTCGCAGCCATGGTCTCTCTCCCCGAAACCTGGAAACCTCTTGAGACTCAGATTTGTTCCCTGGTTGCATAGATGTCCAGGTGGTGGAAAATCTACACAGTAGTTTTCGAGGCAACCCCACCCCCTGCCTCTCGCCTGTGGCTGGATGAACTTTAGCCTTGCTCTGTCCAGTCTGGTTTGCTAGCCTTGATTTGAAAATTTGCCTTCAGCAATTCCTAGATCTTGCAGTCGCTGCCTTGCCTGGGTGTCCTGACATCATCCCCCCACCCCCCACCTTGGCTGAACTCGCACCCTAGTCACCTACCTGTTTTTGCTTTTGCTCAGCCGCTGCTGCTTCCTGGTGCTCTGCTTTTGCCCTGGGATATGTTTTGAATCCTAGAAAAGCTTTTTACTAGGGGCTGAGATTTGCAAGAATTGTTTGGGGGCAATTCCAAAAGAGAAGCAGATCTGTAACCGTGGAAGAGATTTTCTCAGCCTGAACCTTGCATGTTGCTGTTTGACCTTGAATACCATCAGCCTTCTGGGCTATGTTGTCCTTGCTTTAACCTGTTACCAGGCTCAGATGAGACAAATTAAGACTCTCCAGAGTCCTAACTGTAGGTAGAGAGAGTCTTACAGTATAGAGGAATACGGGGGGGGGGGGGTAGGGCCCCACCTCCTGTCTTCATTTCAGTTGCTGGGGAGCTTGTAGGCCAGGGCTTTGGCCCTGTCTTACCCTGGCCCTGCTTTGTGTCCGAGTCTGGCCTGAAGGTGCCCATTGTCTGCCCGTGCAGCCTGTGTCAGGGTCATGGGACTGAAGCCCTCTCAGCTGTTTCTAGGCGGCACCCTCTGGGGCCATCTCTGGGCTGGGGAACATCCTGATGTGAATGGCTTTCCCTTCCGGAATGGGCCGATGGAGGAGGCTGACAGCTCCAGGCTGGTTGCCTCTCTTTGTCTTTCTCCTCCCACTAGGGTTATAACACTACTGCCTGGGACAAGCCTAGCAACAACTCCTGGCCCCCTCAGTGCCTCACCCTCCATGGACTACAGGGGTGACACCGGTTAACAGCCATATTGGGGCCTGGTGTCTCCCGCCTCTGATCTCCCTCGAGTGTGGCTTCCCCCACTCAGTCTGATCTCCACAGGACAGGCTGTCGGGGTGGGGGCAAGGAACTCTCTCCACCTACCTTTTGTACACTGGGATGCTTCTCCTTTTAGAACTCTAACCTGAGTCCTCAGCTTTTCTTTCCTTCCACATTTCCTCCCTAGGCAATTTGCATATACTCCATAGCTTCAGTTAAAGACCTGTTTATTTTGGGCCCTGCCCATTGGCCTAGTGGCTAAAGTCCTCACCTTGCTTGCATCGTGATCCCATATGGGTGCCAGTTTGAATCCTGGCTGTTCTATTTCCCATCCAGTTCCGTGCTTGTGTCCTGGGAATGCAGTGGAGGATGGCCCAAAGCCTTGGGACCCTGCACCTGGATGGAAGACCTGGAAGAAGCTCCTGGATCTTGGCTTCAGATCAGCTTATGTCCAGCCATTGTGACCACTTGGGGAGAGAACCAATGTCTTTCCTTTTCTCAAAAAATAAATAAGTCCTTTTTTTAAAAAAAAAAAATTTCTTTGTAAAGCTACAAGGTTGGGTAAAGCCAGGAGCCAGGAGTTTCCTCTGGGTCTCCCACACAGCATTCCAGGCAGCAGCTTTACTTACTACACCACCACCACAACCCCTCTTCTAAAGTCTTTAAAGTCTTTTTTTGTTGTTGTTTAAGATTTACTCATTTTTATTGAAAAGTCAAATTTACAGAGAGAAGGAGAGACAGAGAGAAAGATCTTCCGTCCACTGGTTCACTCCCCATGTGGTCACAATGGCTGGAGCTGTGCCGATTCAAAGCCAGGAGCCTCCTCAGGGTCTCCCATGTGGGTACAGGGTCCCAAGTCTTTGGGCCATCCTCCACTGCCTCTAGGCTATAGGCAGGGAGCTGGAAGGGCAGTGAGCATGTGTGACACGAACCGGTGCTCATATGTGATCCCGGCGCATGCAAGGCAAGGACTATAGCCACTAGGCTATCACACCCGGCCCTCTTCTAAAGTCTTTAACAGAGCACCTGAACCTGCAACAACCCCATCTCTCCTATCCTTGTTCTGTCTCCCTAGTCACTGACTGTATTCATTTCCTAAGGTATTGTAGCAAAGCATCAGAGCTGGGTGACTTTAAAGGACAGACGTGAATGTATCAGCAGTTGTGCAGGTCAAGTGGAATCAAGGTGTGAGCATGGCCAAGGCTCCTCTGAATCCTTCTTGCCTCTTCCTATTTTCTGGTGGTTTCCTGGCAACCCTTGCCATTGCTTGGTTTGGAGCTACCAAACTCCAGTCTCTACGCTTATCCTCACATGGCCTTCTCCCTGTGTGTGAGGCAGGGAGATTATGCCTTCCTTCCAGAACTGGTGTTGGGTGGCAGATGGCTCTGATGGGTCTCCCCACCTCTAGGTACGTGAACACACTCCTGAAACTCATCCCACTGGTGCTGGGACTCCAGGAACAACTGCGCCAGGCAGTACAGAATGGGGACATGGAAACCTCCCATGGCATCTGTCGCATCGCTGTGGCCCTTGGCGAGAACCACTCCCGGTAGGGTGGAGGGCAGCTCCGGGTGAGGCCCTCCAAGAGGTGGGATTGTGGGACCACCCCCCATTGTGGGAGTGGTTTCATGACTTTGTTGCCTCCTCGCCAGGGCCTTATTGGACCAAGTAGAGCACTGGCAGAGCTTCCTGGCGCTTGTCAACATGATCATGTTCTGCACTGGCATCCCTGGCCACTATCCTGTTAATGAGACTACCAGCTCCCTGACCCTCACCTTCTGGTACACGCTGCAGGTGTGTGGGCCTGGGCTGTGATGGAGGCGGGTTGGTCGGGGGCTTCTGTGGCTGCTAGTGAGATGGCTTATTCTCTCCCCTGGCTCTCTCAGGATGACATTCTGTCCTTCGAAGCAGAGAAGCAGGCTGTGTACCAGCAGGTGTACCGGCCAGTCTACTTCCAGCTAGTGGATGTGCTCCTGCACAAGGCCCAGTTCCCTTCTGATGAGGAATATGGATTCTGGTCCTCGGACGAGAAGGAGCAATTCCGAATTTACAGGTGATGGTAGCAGGCCAAACCTGACTCTAAATGGGCCATGAGGGGAAGCGTCCTGAAGTCAGGCCTCCTGAATTCTGGAGTTGCTTTCTCTGTTCTCTGGGCATTTTTGCAGGGTTGTGAGGGTCCTGGGCTCAGGATAAAAGGCCTTCCTGTGCTCTGCAGGGTGGACATCTCGGACACGCTCATGTACGTCTATGAGATGCTGGGGGCTGAGCTGCTCAGCAACCTCTATGACAAGTTAGGCCGTTTGCTCACCAGCTCAGAGGAGCCCTACTCCTGGCAGGTACCTCGCAAGCCTGATTCCCTCCATACCCCCTGACCCGTCATATCCTCCACTCCTCATCCAACTCAGTGGCACTCTTTCCACAGCACACAGAGGCCCTGCTCTATGGCTTCCAATCCATCGCAGAGACCATCGATGTCAACTATTCTGATGTGGTGCCTGGGCTCATTGGCCTAATCCCACGGATCAGTATCAGCAACGTGCAGCTGGCAGATACTGTCATGTTCACCATTGGTGAGACCTGGCACACACTCATGATCTCATGCCCAGGGCCACAGTAGCCATCCCCAGCCATGACCAGCCTGTTTGGTCCTATCCAGGGACACACACACCTCCCCTAGTCGGCATTACAGCTGACCAACTCTTCTGGAGATGGAGTTCTTCCTACTATGTGCTGAGCCAGTTTAGCCAGGCTGGTTCCTGCTTGTGGGACAGCAGCCCTAGGCCTTGGTAGAATGGCTTCCTGCTGCTCAGTGGTGAGGCTGCTGTTTGAGTTCGCAAATGCATACTGCCCACTCAGCCCTCTGAACGAGTAGTACTCTGTTTAGGGACTGCAACTAGGTCCTGGCAGTTCTGTCTGCCTCAGGAGCATGGTCTGAAACCACCCTGGTCGGTCTGCCTAATAGCCTCCCTCTTGCTTTCTGCAGGAGCTCTGTCTGAGTGGCTGGCTGACCACCCTGTAATGATCAACAGCGTCCTGCCCCTCGTGCTGCATGCCCTAGGGAATCCTGAGCTCTCCGTCTCATCTGTGTCTACCCTCAAGAAGATTTGCCGAGAGTGCAAGTATGACCTGCCACCCTATGCTGCCAACATTGTGGCTGTTTCCCAGGTAGGCAGGGCCCAGGCTGGTGCTGGGTGGCCAGCATCCTGTGCCCTGTGCTGAAGTTGGTGTTCCTTCTCTTTGCCCCCAGGATGTGCTGATGAAACAGATCCACAAGGTGCAGTTCACAGGTTTCTGGGAGTCTCCTTTGGGGTCTTATGGGAATCTCTCATCCTAAAAAGCCCATCCTCCACATTCCCCAGCCCTTGTTTTATTCCCTATTGGAACCTTCCCACTCACTGCCAGATGTGGTCAGGCCTGATCATCCATATTCTGTCCCACAGACGAGCCAGTGCATGTGGCTGATGCAGGCCCTGGGCTTCCTGCTGTCAGCCCTGCAGGTGGAAGAGATCCTTAAGAACCTGCACTCGCTTATTTCCCCTTATATCCAGCAGCTGGAAAAGCTAGCAGAGGAGATGGTGAGTGAGCTAGGGGGCTAGGGATGGTGCTGGGTCTCAGGCCTCTCCTTGTGTGAGTGGGATTGTAGCTGCACTTAGGATCAGAGTTGAGTGATTTGAGAAGCAGGCTGTGGCTGTGAAATCTGAAGTTTGCTTGGCTTCTCCCCCACAGCCCAATCCCTCCAACAAGCTGGCCATTGTCCATATCTTGGGTCTTCTGTCCAACCTCTTCACCACGCTGGATGTCAGTCACCATGAGGATGAACATGAAGGCTCTGAGCTCCGGAAGCTGCCAGTGCCGCAGGGACCCAACCCTGTGGGTGACGTTATCTTTGCTGCTCCCTCCCTTCCCACCCATATACCTGTACCTGTAGGGTGTCATTGTCACTTGCCATCTCTGTGGATGGTGTTGTCATTGTTTGCCAAGCCCCATGCGGTGACGCATTTGGTCCTCTGACCCGTGGATGA